GGTGCTTCAGACTATATTCGTCTGGGGAGCCCTGGAGTTCTTGGAATATTGGTGGGAAGAGAATCTGCCCATCTCCCAGTGCCAGCTCCAGTTGTCTGAGGGCCTTTGAGCAAGAGTCTGCCTTTCACCAGCAGCATCTCCAGCAGCAGTCCCGGCTCCTCCTCCTCCTCCTCCTCCTCCTCATCTTGCTGGTTAGACAGAGAGCAGGCGAGCAAGCAGGTGGGGCACCTGCTGGTGCTGCTCCTTCTCACCTGCATTGTCTGGGCCAGAGCAGGAGGCAGGGAATTGAGCAGGGGCAGCACTCATGAGGAAGGGCCATTCAAGCCACCTCCTCGCAGTGGGCTGCTTCAGAGCTTTGCATGTTTGGCAGGTGCCTCACCGGGTCAAACCTCCACCAGTCTTTACCTTCAACAGGTAGCTGCAGTGTGGAGTTGGAAGTGCTGCACACAGCAGAGGGCTGTGGAAGATCAGGCTGTGCTTCCAGATCATGGGACAATACGCAGTAGATAAGCAAGGGATCCTGACTCAGTTCATGGTCCTCTTTTTCAGACCTCTTTGTAGAGTCTAAAAACTCCTAAAACTCCTGCTGTTATTTCTGTTAATCGAGTATACTCTGTAGAGGCTTGGTTTCTTCTGGACAAACTGCATGCTGATGAAGTCTAACCTGCACTGGTTCTTCCAGCTTGGCTTCAATGAACAGCAGTAGCGCCACACAGCTGAGTCTTTCTGCCATTTAATTTCCCACAATGCCCTAGTCCAATGTTATTGCAGGAGCATTGTGGGAAGTTCAGGTGATGGCTAAGCTCAGCCATGTGGCACTCCAGGGGAAATGATATATGTTTAAAGGGGGCACCAAGGCTTGAGTGACCATTGAACACAGCTGAGGTGATAGAACCCAGTGTTTGGCCCCATTAATAAGTTCTGGAGAAAAGTTAAGGCATTCTGCCCTTAAATGCTATTTCTTCAATGTGGTGATGTGTGTAGAACATCAGTATTATCATGTGCAGGTACGGAGAACTTGCCACTCTCCAACAATTCCATATTTTGGCCTGGATAGTAACAAGGATAGGAGAGGTTTGACAGCGTCCCACCCCATTGGATGCAGTGCAGATATGGTGTAGTGGGGTTGAAATAAGGACACAAGAAAGGGGAACTAAGTATAGAAAGATCCTGTGTCCATCTTAGAAGTCCAGGGAGGAAGCAAGTTTTTGCCTTCTGTATCTTGGTGGACTTTTCAGTGCTGAAATGAAACAAGAACATAACGTTCTTAGACGCACTGCTGGGAGATCATCAAATCACTGAGATATGGTCTGACCTGGGCAGCTCCATTCTGCCTACCACATTTCAGTGCCTATTAGAAAATCGGGAGAAGCTGAGGGAGGTCAGCTCTGTGCTTAGACACCTCCCTGCTTGGGTGTGCTTGGCTTTCCCTGCCCTCCCCCTGCAGATCGTTGCACAGTCCCCTGAACATGACCTTCTCGGGCTGTCTTTCGGTTATCTTGCTTCATGTCGATAAGCGGGGTCTTGTGAGGTGCTGACATCCATGTTCCCTTTCAGGATGGGAGGAATGAGGCTCGGCTGCTCTTGCATGCATGAGGCTGGTCAGAGCTGTTCTCGCATGAGGGAATGTCCCATGTGACTCTGGAAACATGCTTGTTTTCATTTGTGACTCATGTGCTTCGCTCGATGGAAAGATGCTGTGGCTTTTTCCCTAAGAAAAGAGGAACCACTGGCTTGCTGATTATGCTCTGTGCTGCCTTACATGCATGGCTCTGATTCTGCACTGGGAACTGGCAGGCCACGTCGAATGTGTGGCCAGCTGCTCATTCCTTTTAACTTACAAGTGCATGTGAGAGCCGCTGATCCAGACCAGGACCAGTGCATGTGGGCAGGGGAGGCTTAAACCTTCCCCTTCCAGCTATCAGCTTGGCTAAATCTCTCCCCGCCCCGCACCTCCAGCACACTCACACACTCTCCTGTGATCAACAAAATAGCGAAGATGCTTTCTCTGGCTCTGCTGTGACCTCTTCCTGGTTAATTTCAGTGATCTTCTCTATTTTCCAGGCAGGAAACACTCTGGCTCCAGGCACCTGGGGGGCCGTGGGCAGCACTCCTAGGCTGCGGGGGGGGTCACTCCTCTCCCTCCCCCCAATCAGCTGGCAACACTGTGTAGCAGACTTCTCTGGGGGGCTTTGGGGGCTTCTCCCGATCACCTTCCATGCCGCCCAAGCAAGGTCTCACTCCATCAGCCAGGCGAATTCCAGTAGGCGTATTTGGAAGGCTCTTTCCCTGCTTGCTCTGCTCAGTGCTGCAGGATCTCCCCGCACAGGGTGTCCTCCTTCCTGCCTGCATATTCAATTTTCTCTCCACTCAGCAGTGCAACTGTAGCTAGTTAGGCATATTGGCTTGTTCTTCTTGCTCATAGGAAGGAGACCGTGGCTCCTTCAGTTCTAGGCAGGAAAGACTTTAGAGCAGAAGTATCAACAAAGAGAGAGAGGTGTGTGTGTGTGTCTGTGTGTGTGTGTGTGTGCATTTGCGCACAGCATGTGTGAGAGAGAGAATGAGAGAGAGAAACTGAAGTTGCAGCTTTTATTGAAACAAGTCATTAACTCAGTTCACATGTAATGAGGGAAAATGGTGGTTTAATTAGCCCACAGTTTGCCATGGTGCCTGCCGTCACCATTTTCCCTGACCATCCTCCAGTCAGGCTGAATGGTGGTTACTTAGTGATGTCTGAATCCGGATACCATGGGTCAATCATGAGTTAAGCAACCATGGCAGACACCTACATTTACTTGACAAGTATGAGTTGTTTAGCCTGCAATGAGCCTGTAGCATCCAGGTTTGGATCTGACAAAGTAACCTCCAGTCAGCCTGCTCAAAGGTGGCACATACATAAAGAGTTGCTGACATGCACCCAGCATGGATCAATGAATCACCCCGCAATTTGCAGGTGCTATATGTAAATAGAGCAATTGTTCCAAAACAGAGGCTTTGACATGTTGCATTCAGTGTTTTTGTAAAAGGCCAGGAGGCACCTCACATATCCAGATGTGTCTGATGGCTGGATAGATTATGGCACTGATTCACTGCATTGACTTACTGCTCTGGAATCTGCCTAGAAATACAGCAATATACCAGCACAGTAAATAAACAGAAAATAAATGCCACAGGAATTTCTGGGATGGGGGGCACATGTTCCACCACCCTGTCTTAAGCAGGAAGTCACCCTTCCCCAGTACAGCATCCTGCTGTGTTTTGGACTTCAGTTCCCTTCAGCTCAGGCCAGCTCAGCTGGGAGTGAGAGTCCCAGACATCTGAAAGGCACAGGTCAGCTTTGGTTTCAGTAAGTTTTTGCTGGCGCATGGGAAGTTGTCTGCAGTGAAGTCAGCTCTTTGTTCAGCGCCATCTGTTCCAAGTGACAGCAGCTTTACAAAGTTTTACTTGGTCTTTCTTATCACCCGGCCCTTGTCCCTTTCACTGGAGATGCCAGGGACCCAATGCATGGCCTACGTCTGAAGCATGTGATGACCCGAAGGCTAGGGCTTGGTCCTCTCTCTGGCCTGGTCTTCTGGGAAAACATTGTCTTCTAGGGAGTTTCGCAAAAGTTCCACAGTGAGTAAAGAGATCCGGGAGCCCTCAGTGAAGGAAATTAGGAGGGTGGTTACTCGGACGAGGGCTTTTTCAGCGGTGGCGCCTAAGCTATGGAATGCGCTCCCCAGAGAGGTCCGCCTGGCGCCGTCATTATTTTTTTTTTGGCGCCAGGCAAAGACCTTTTTATTTAAGCAGCATTTTAAATGTTAATACTATTGAATTTTATCTGGCCAGGGTGGCTTATTTTATTCTAATGTATTTTATTTTAATGTATTCTAATGTTATTTATATTGACCTAATTTATTGTTGTAAGCCGCCCCGAGGCTTCGGCGAATGTGGCGGCATAAAAATGTTTTAATAAATAATAAAATAAATAAAATAAAGCAATAATGGTGCACAGGCTCCTCTGAGGAGTGGCATGCACAAACACATCTGACTTTCCTCTGCAGAGCTCAGAGAAATTGTGACCACATAATTTCCCCCAAATATGAAATACACCAGGGAAAAAAGGATGCTGGTTTGCTTCTTATATTCATTGTATGTGTATGCAAACTAAGAAGTTATTTTAATCTAAATAGGCAAGTATTATAATTTACATTACAATCTAAAATTGGATTACTGTAATTCGGATGTAGCGCATCTCGGCACAGAGGGGTGTTCCAGCGAGTTCTGTGTCTTGCTCTCGAGAGCTGCCTCAGGCAAGCCTTCCAGTATTGGATTCTTCACAGTGAAAGACATGAGGCTACCCTCTATGGCTACAGGCAGCAAAAGATTCTTCTTTACCACCGCTGCTCTTTAATACATACCTGAAATATGTTGCTAAGCCCGTGTGGTGTCGTAGTTGGAGTGCCAGACTGGGGACCTGGAAGATCCGGGTTCTGTTGGCCGTGAACCTCCCTGGGTGACTTTGCTCCAGTCTCTCACTCTCCGCCTACCCACCTCACTGGGTTCTTGTCGTAGGGATAAATATGGAGTGGAGGAGAACTAGGTAAGTCTCCTTCGGTTCCTCTCAAGAGGCAAAAAGGCAATATATCCATGCTGTTGCAATACGTCTCTGATCTGGACTAACTGACACAGAGTTGCTTTTGAGTGTGGAAATGAGTGGCTCATGGATGCCTTCGGTAACGCCACCCCTGGAGCTGCCATCTTGAATTCAGCCTCAGGCCTCCCAGGCCACCGGCTGACCCCTGGCTTTGGTGGGCAGGCCTGGCGTGCCTGATCAACTGTCAATCCCCATAGACTGACACCTGCTCATGCCTGTTTGGGGAACGCTCTTCCAGGGCAATGAGGGAGTTCTGGGATCCTTGCCCTAGAGCCATGGAGGCGCCCGCTCAGCTTCCACACCGTTAGTTGCCCAGTCTTTACTCATAGTGTCCATCACCTTTCATGTGTCTGCTCTTTTCTAGGTATCGGGGGCTGATTCTGGTGCTGACGTTTCTGTGCTATACCACATTCCATCTGTCTCGGAAGCCCATTAGTATTGTGAAGGTACAAAGCTTGTAACCCTGGGAGTAAAAGATAGCCGTGTGCTGGATATGTGGGGCACTCAGTTGAAGCCCAAGGCCCCCTGTATTCACCTGGGGCATAGAACCATTTTTCAGCCCAGTTCGAGATGCTCTCAGATGCCACTGGTGGCTGAAGTGGGACCAAAGACACCCACATATTTGAGCACAACCCGTTACTGCCAGTAGCTAAGCCTTAGGAGAGGCAATTCAGCCTTTGAGAAAGGAGGCTCCAGAGGGTTGTATCAGACCTCCAGTGGAATCAAAAAATAGCAGACCCTCATGTGTGCCTGTCCTTTCTCGTTTCTTCAGAGCGAACTGCACTATAACTGCTCCTCACGGCCCAGTCCGGACAACATCTCAAATAGCACCACGTGGTGTGACTGGAAGCCTTTTGGTAAGAGTTGATTTGCCTTGTCGTTCCACTTCCACTGAAAGACCCTCTTGGCCTTTGCAAACAGGCGGAGGATGGGGCCCCTGTGGAGCCAGCACATGTGAGCTGGGATGATGGGATGCCACCATAGTTCAGCAGCACAGAAGATGCTCTGTATGCAGAAGGAGCCCTTTTTAATCCCCAGAAGTTCCCCGTAGGGAAGACCCAGCCTTAAACCCCAGGCACTTGCCAAGCCACGTAGGACAACCTGGTGTCCTTCAGATAAGTTAGACTGCAACTCCCGTTAGCTCCAGGCAGCATGGCGAGGATGAGGGGAGTTAACATCTGGAATGCACCTCTGGGCAAGCATGGCGGGACAGTGTTCAGCTGGACACTGTGAGGATCAGACTTGGTAGAAGGCCACTTTGTCTGCAAAGGCTGGTGACTCCAGTGCCAGCGGGGCGCCTTATCCGTTGCAGCGTCCGTGTTTAGGAGCTATCCGTGGTACTGAACTCTGCCTCCAAAAAGGCTCAGCTATTTGGAGTGGAGGAGGAGCCCCACGGACGCAGCGTCGTCAGCCTCCCCTGAGTCTCCTGTGTGGCTTTGTTGGTGGCGTGGAACTGCGTTTGGCACGTCCCGCGTTTTCTGCACAGCTGTCGAGGCTGTAGCGCTCTGTGGGAGCCTTGTTTGTAGGCTGTCTTGGAGACTGAGGGAGAGGCCTGGGCCACCTCCATTTCTGAGGCCCTTTGAGGGTCTATTAAGATGAAGAAATGCTAAATTAGAGTTACAAAAGTCTTTAGATTTCAAATGTTTACATTTAACAAGTTAATGCTTGCAACACAGTGCAGCACTTCATAATGGATTATTATTACATCGGGTTATCACGCTGTGATTACACTGCTTTTATGTCCTACCTTTTTCTCTCCAAGGCTGCTCGCCTGGTCCTCCTCGGCACCATTTTATCCTCACCACCCCAACCCAGTGATATCCTTTTTCATTTAACAAATGTTTTTCTACATTTTTTGGTGCACATGCACCAAATATTTTTTGGGAAAAATTCTTTCAATTTCACCACTGATATTAAGCCTAACAGGGCCATGCCAAGGGTGTTGCCCCACAGCTGAAGCATAGTAACCCTTGACCAGCCTCAGAATATTAAAATGTGAAGCCCCCCATGAGAGAATCCTGAACAAAGTGGCCCTGCTTCCCCCCCCCCCCCCCATGGTAGGTCCTGGTTGTTCCCTGAAATTTGTGAAAGGCTGAAATACTCGTAGACCAAAATGTGATGCTGTGCTCCAGAAGCGGCTGTGATTATGTCCAGGGTTTGCTCTTAAATTCTTCCAAGTGCCAGTCATTTCCTCTGATACTGTGGGAGTTTGGATGTTCCTGGCACTCAGGGGTCTGTGCTGTTCCCTCTTGCAGATCAAGACAACTACAAGGAGCTGTTTGGAGCCTTGGATAATGCCTTCCTGGTTGCCTATGCCATTGGCATGTACATCAGGTGTGTACCTTAAATACCAGCACGGCGCACGGTCTTCTGCAGGAGCCCTCTTGGGCTTCGACTCCTGCGCAGGGCTGGAACAGTGCTGGCCAGCCCTGCCTGTCCATGGCCAGAACCCGGCCCCGGGCACCCTGCAGCATGAATGCCAACCGTGGAGGACAGGGCTGGCTGCAGCCCCAGGAGGGCCCTGGGCACAATCCTCGGTGGGCCAGCGGCTGTGTCAACTGTCCCTGCCTCTTCTTTCCCACATGGCTGCTACTCGCTGCCTGGACAAGCAGAGAGACAGCACACCAGGTGATGTTGCATCCGCTCTTTTCCTCACCACCAGCACAGTCTGTGCCAGAGCGAGAGACAAGCAGACAAGCAGGCCGCAAGGGTGAAGAGGAGGAAAGCTCCAGCAAGGAGCCCCTGCTGGGATGGGGCCTTCAGCACATGCCCAACCATGTCAAGCTGGATGTTGCTCCTACCCTCCTTCTGGAGCTGCCCATGGGATCTAGAACCTGGATGTGCCGGGTTCTAAACTGCAGAAGGAGCTGCCGAGTTCAGCAAGCTATAAGGACATGGGCCCCCTGGTCGCAGGTGATGGGGCAGTAGAGACAGAGCTAGCTGACACATTCTGGCTTCTCCATTTATCCCATGCAGAGAAGAACACTTGAACAGGAGTAGAGTTTTTCTAGATTTACACTGCCAACCTGTGCGCATCCACTCAGAAGCAAGCAGGCAAAGGGCAGGGCTAAAGCTTTATCCTATTGATTGGATGTTTATACTTCCACTCTGGGTACTTTAGAACTTTCAGAACTTTCCTCCTGATGAGTGAGTTTTCTACTTCTGTGCAGCTTAAAAACAGAGATAGCAAAGAGGAGAAAGAACGAGGAAATGCCTGAAGTGGTGGTGTCCACTCTCCTGCATGCATAGGCCTAAAGCTTGTCTCTAGAGGCAGCATGCAGCCAGGAGGACTAGTCTCTGCAGATGGCAAGAGTTTTCCTCCCTGAGGGCATCTGCTTGGTCCTTTTTAGAAAATGAACTCTGGACTTCAGTCAGATTTAGCAAGGCCATTCCTACCACCTTAATTTTTCTGGCTCCTTCAGCATCATTCGCAATTTAGGTTTGGCTCGGCATTGCCTTCCCTGGCAGTCCAGGGTCAGTCTTGCCACCGCTCATCACAGACAACATCAGTTTCTCGGTGCCTGAACCTGGCAGCTTAACAAGGCCATTAACAACATGGAATGATCCCAGAGCTGTTCCTAGGAGAAATCCATATTTACTGTTTGATTGCTCTGGCACAACTTGCCAGGAGCCAGCTGCACCCTGATGATAATCTGTCCATTTTGAAACAGGCAGAAAACAGTTCAAAGAAACAGACTTCCTGTAGCTACTTCATAATGGTTGACGGATAAGAAACCCGCTAATGGAGGGCTTGCAGTGTCAACAAGTATTCTTGTCCGAATGATGGATTCTGTTTGCCGAGGCCCACAGCAGGATGTTTTGCCACCTAAGTCATTTTTAACGACCCCTCCGGGTGATTTCCAGGATGGCGTTTCTGCTGCAGAAGGGGAGGGACCTTAGCTCCACCATGGAGCACCTGTTTTGCAGGCAGGTTCGTGCTCTGGAGCCTCCAGGTGTGATTCCTGCAATTGGCAGAGACTGTGGAGGGCAGACAGCACTGGCAGAGACAGACCAGTGGCCTGGCCGTGTGTCGGCATCCTCAAGAGGATGGGTCTGGAAAAGTCGCACTGCTCTGGTTAGAGGAGCCTAACGATGTATTAACTCCAAGCACAGACCCACAATGCCATCGTACCTAAAGAACTATGTTCCACAATGGTTGTGCCCTGGTGCACAAGCGTGGAATTGCAGCACCAGTTAAGGGTGGCAGTTGTGCTAGGCTTTTCTTAGCCTTTCTTTGCTATGGAAGTGTTTTGCACCCACGGGTTCTCGTAAGATATTTCCCAGACTCAGGGAGGGGAGGGGAGCCTCTGCCAAGGCACTGAGGGTGCAGCTGGCACCTCCACCCGCTTTCCGTGCACTCAGAGGTGTGGGACTGGGACGGCTGGACTTGCCTGTCAAGGTGTCCTGCAGGGTGGGAAGGGAATGGAAGTGACCTCTGCCCCTGTTTCCCTCCCATGCGGCATAGGATGCCCATAATCCTCCCAGTTCCAAGCCTCCCGATTGGATGGCACATGAGGGGCTCCCTCTTGTTAGTCTTTCGATGGAAAAAAGGCCTACAACTCCCAGCATGCCCCAGCCAACTCTGATGGGCGATGCACACTAGGAGCTGTAGGCCTGTTTGCTGTCCAAGCACGTGCATGATTGCATGTTGCACTGCTTCGTTCACCGGCACAGGCTCAGGCTGGAGGGTGTCGGAAGGCGTGCCGTGGTCTCTGCTCTCCGCGGGGCATCTCTCGTGCTTAACGCGCCATTCATTCCATCTCCACAGCGGAATTTTCGGTGAGCGCCTCCCACTGCGCTACTATCTTTCTGGAGGCATGGTGTTGAGTGGGCTGTTCACATCCTTGTTTGGCCTGGGCTACTACTGGAACATCCACCAACTTTGGTACTTTGTGCTCGTACAGGTATGGAGAGTCATCGTGTCTGCCAGGGGCCTTTCTGCTCAGGTTCGCCACCAGCATGTGGCATCCTCTGGCCAGAGCCAGCAGGTCTTCCCCATCACCTCCTCTGCTGTACCTGAGATGGCCAGAGATGCCAGGGACTGAACCTTGGGTCCCTGCATGCAAAAGAGGTGCTGTGGCGAAGAACTCATGGCCTTCCTATGGGTTGAAAATATAGGGACTAATCCAAATCCCAACGCCAGAAAATGAACAATGAGAAAAATGCTGGTTTATGTATTTATGTATGTATGAAATTTATAGCCTGCCTTCTCCTTGCCAAAAAGTGCTGCTTTAAAAAAAATCTATGTTAAACATACAGACTGAATTAAAATAACATGTAAATGAAAGACAGAAAAACCTATTCAAATGCTCTCTTAGAAATACCAGGGTACTTTGGTGGTATCTTATGGTTTTGGGGGGTGTTTTGTTTTTTAAAATATTTATCATTATGTATTGATTACAAGCGTTTCCATCCCGTCCTTCCGCACAAGCGCTCAGGCACGAATAGGCATAAAGATGCATTAAGTACACTCAGGCCCAAACTGGAAACATCCCATTCTTTCTGCATCATCAAACCCAGTAACCCCTCACTTGACTGGAGCGTGTCATTCAGACAGATGCAGCCGGGATGGAAAAATAGACTATCCTTCCTGAAGTTCTTCCGACGGCTAAATATATCTGGCTCCTGTTTGTCCAGACTGCCATGCATGTGATTGCTGAATCCACAGACAGATATCAGAAATAGTTCATGTTTTCCCCTTAAAGAGACGACGGTCAAATGGGGTGGCAGTGGTAGGAAACTTCCTCTCAAGAGCCAGTAGAGCAAGCCTGATGAGGAGAGAAGGTCAGAGTGGGAGAACTCAGCAATGATACTGGAAAGTCTGGGGTGACAGAAGCATGTGATACAATGGGGCTATTATTCATGTGTGCTTTCCAGCATCACTGGGAGCACCTCGGCCTCAGGTCCATTCACAGCCATTGTTGGGATCATGAGTTGGAATGTCTTATTCCACGAGAGTTGAAGTTGCTTATTAGCAGGAAGGTCCGCCAGTTGAACGGACCCCCATTGATGTCAAAGCAGACAAGCACTTAATCAATGAGGAGCTATTAAACTGGACTGTCTGCCAGGTTTATATGCTGGGACGCATGTCAGCATCCCAAACCAATGTAAGAACATTAAAAGCACAAAGGGAATATAATTGCAATAGAGGCAATTTAAAACAGGAATGATATGCCAATGCAACCACTGTGTAGGGGTTAGAATTTTGGAATTTTGTCTCCACCTGGCCATGAAGCTCACTGGGTGACTTTGGTCCAGTCACTCACTCTCAGCCTAACCTACCTCACAGGGTTGTTGTGCATATAAAATAGCAAAGTGGGGGGCCATGTAAGCCAGCTGAGGTTCCTTGCAGGAAAGAAAAGTGGGATATAAATAATGATAATAAGATAACAACACTGGAAGCTGAAAAGCTGCAGCAGCTTTCTTCAGCCTGTTATCCTCCAGACCTGTTGGACTGCAGGTCCCATCTTTCCAAGCCAGCATGGCTTCGCACTGATGGCCATGATGACTGGCAAGGATGGGGGTTGCAGTCCAACATCCCTGGAGTGCAATACGTTAGAACAGATTCGGGATCGCTGAGCTACATCAGGTTAGAAGAAGCAGGGCAAGGACAAACAACAATGTTCTCAGAGGACAAATAGCATCTATGAAAGGTCCAAAAGCAGGGAAAGGAGGACCTCACCTCTCCGAAAGTCAACAGGGGATCGTGGGTGTCCATGAAGGGCAAGCATTCCAGAGCTCTGGGCTGCCACGCCGAGGGCGACAGTCTCCGAAGGTCACCTGGGTGCCCTTGGGTGACGGGACCATAAGCAGAGCCCAACTTCAGTGTTAGGGGACTTGATCTGGCATGCACAGGGTGGGGTGGGGACATCCACTCCCTAATCAGCTTCTGCTTCATTATGGTTTGCTGACCTTGATCATGCTGCAGTCCCTTGGCATGCCGCCAAGTGCCTTTTTTTTGTTAGTGGGTGGCATTGTTTACAATTTAATGAGCAGCTCATGCCATATTGTTGCTGGGATCGGAAGAGTAACCCTTTTAAAATTCCCCAAACACGAAAAGGCCTTCAAAGATTAAACTAGTGCCTGACTCTCTATCTCCTCAATTAAACTTGACTACGTGATTTATTAGCTAAAGCTGATTGATTAATCCATTAACTCACTGATAAAAAGTCAATCTAGGCCCACAGGGCAGGCTGTTGTTTGTAAGCCACTTCTTGGATCTTCTGAGAAATGCTTGGATTACTACCAGCCCATTACTGCTGACACCGTGTCCCTTCATAACTCTGGTGATTCATGTGTTAATGAACTTTCAAATATCATTTTATTCCATGGGTGTGGCCCCAGCCTTAACATTCTTTGACATACAGATGTGAGGCTGAACGCTTATCTCAGCTACTTTGCTTGCTACTGCTAGTTCTTGGAAAACAACAAAGGCCAATCTCAAATGCAGACACATCTCAAAGCAGGAAGAGATCCAAGCTTTCCCGATTTCCCCCTTGCTCTGTTTGGTTCTGGATTTCTTTCTTTCTTTATATTCATTCATTGATATACCTTGTATGGCTTTCTGCTGAAAGTTTTATTTGGTCCAAGGTTCAGTCAGCCAGCACTGAGCTCTGTGGAGAGCGGTCGTGAGGTGGCTTTTCGAGCGGAGTGATCCACCACCTCTGCGGTGGGCTTAAAAAAAGTGCAGCTTGATAGGAAATGCGCAGTTCCAAAACTCACATCCTACAAATGGTGCATTCCTAGCTGATGATGTGTAAAGTAACACCCAGCCCCGTCTCCAGCAAAGCTCTTCCGGAGGACTCCACGGTTACTCGACACAGAAAGCTCACCGGCACTGCCAAGGTGAAGGAAGCAGAGGGCACGGGGAAGTTGTCACTGGCCCAATGGTTCGAGTGGTGTGGGAGACTTGGATTCTCGTCCCCACTTGGCTACAAACTTGCTGAAT